CAAGAGACTGAATAAACGGGGGGTGGGGGTGGGGGGGGAGAATAGACCACGGCTTTTGCAAGATAAGTTTTCGGGGGTGCCTCTTTGCTGTAAGCAGTCATCTCCCCGTCGCTGGGAGTGTCTCCCTGGCGTCATTCATTCATTTAGGTGGAAATAACCCGCTCGACCTACAGACTGGCGAGCACCCATTTCCTCCCCGGGGGTTACCCGAGGGCAATTCTCTCCCCCCCCCCCGCAGCCCTGCTCTCCCGGTTGGCGCTGAGAAGAGCGGCCGGTGGCCAGTTGCCAGCTGCTAGGCTTGGCCGCGGCGGCGGGGGGGGGGCGGTGGCGGAGGAGGAGGTGGAGGAGGTGTGTGTGTGTGCCGGTGGAGAGGGGCGGGGGGGGGGGTTGTTTGGAACTTTGCTGGCTCGGTAGCGGCGGATCCCAGGGGAGAAGGCCGTCCGCCGCTCGCTCATTGGTCGCCGCGCCGTCAGCTGGTTCGATTTGCTGCTGTCGCTTTTGGCGCTCGGCCATCCAGAAACAAACCACTCGCATGACTACTAATAGTTATATAGCCAGATGTACTAATACACAACAAATCAAGGTCCGGGATCTGGGGAGCGTCCATGAGTTCCTATTTCGTGAATCCCGCTTTCCCGGGAAGCTTGTCAAATGGACAAGAGTCCTCCTTCCTGGGGCAGATGCCCCTCTACCACCACCCAGCCGCTGGCTACGAGGCTCTGAGGCACTTCCCAGCTTCTTATGGGGCCGGCAGCCTGCAGGAGAAGCCCTACTCTTCCCCTAACTTCTTCCAACAGTCCAGCCCCAACACGGTCATCGCCTGCAACCGGGCAGCCTATGATTATGGAGCCTCTTGCTTCTACTCGGACAAGGACCTGGGCGGTGCCTCCTCGCCCTCCGGCAATGGCAAACCAAGGGCCAGCAACCCCGGGGACTACTTGCCCTGCTTTGCCTCTGACCAGCAGTACAAGCCCGAAAACGTGGCAGCCAAAATCCTAAACGAGGAAAACAGTGACCGGAAATACACCAGCCCTGTTTACCCTTGGATGCAAAGGATGAATTCATGTGCTGGTAAGTCAAAAAAAGGTAACCATAAATAGGGAGGGTGGGCTTCAGAGATGATGATTGAGGGGGAGCTTCCATTCTCTCTCTCTCTCTCTTTCTTGGGGAGAAAGATCTTTTTTCAGATGGGCCATCTTCAGACTCTCTAGGATGGGTAGAGGAGGTTTCAAAGCCCAGGGAATGGATGACCTGAGATTCTTTTTTTTTTTTCAAGTTCTCCATCAACCTGACAGGTTGAGGATTACCTTGACAAGGAATGCATTTTGAAGGCTAAGTCAGCACATGAAGCCTGCCATTGCAGCCTCGCATGCCTGGAAGCAAATCTTAAGGAAATAACTATTAACACTCTTCAAAAAATCAATATTTTTTAAGTATTGGGTGGCTGCTTTTGCTAAACTGCTCGCCACCACCATCTTCATCATCATCATCATCCTCACCAGAGAAGCTTCTCTGTCCATCAGAGCCAAAGAGTGATACGAGGGAAGAGTTCCGACTGCTCCATATATTTGTGAGAGTTCTCTTCCCCCTCCCTTCACCCACTCATTAGTGTATAAGAATGAGCTACCGAATGCACGTTTCTAGTAATATCTACGCACGCACACAAATCATCTAATGGGGTGAAAGGGGTGGGAAGAAAGAAAACTTGATCAATGGCCACCCCCACCCCCCATTTCAATGTATCAGAATGTCATTCTTTGTTCTTCTATCAGAGGAATATAGAAAGTCTAAGGAGATTTTAATAGTGAAGCATTAAAATTAAAAGCTTTTGGAGAGTTTCAGGCTGTTTTCACTGAAGCATTAATGACCTTCCTTTAAAGCAGCATACTGTGACTTAATGCTCTATTTCTATTTCTATTCTACTTTAAAAAAAAAACAAAAAACCAAAAGCTTGCTTCAAAATAGATTTTATTAAATTTATTGGGGCTTGCAAATAAATCTGTTTATAGGTGCTGGTGCCAGTTCACTGAACTTAACATTCTCCTGTTAAGCCAAGACAACATTCTCCTTCCTGTTAAGCCAAGACAAACATCTTCAAATTTCACCTGTTTAAAATGGGAAAGAATTAACAAATAGGATTGCTAATACCTTCCTTTGGAAATCAGTGGGACTGAAAAATATTCCAATTTGGTTTAAATTTGGTTAAAATCCTCTTGCAAGTCTGGACATAAAACATAACATAAAAGCAACTCTCCTATACCAGGGCCTGTTCATGTATTATCTAAGGGTAATGGCCATGTTGAAAACAATCTTCCTCCTTGTTATTAAAAAGGAATGCTTCTGTTCCCCCCAAGCCCCCAAAATTAAATTAAAAATTAAAAAATAACTTCAAAATAGTGTGAGCTTGTCCCTTAAGTTAGGAAAGCAGGAGTAAACAAGGAGTAGGGCTCCAAGGATGGACGAATAGCCTGCTTATTCCAGGTTATATATGTTTGCTTCCTTAGGTACAGTATATGGAACGCATGGGAGACGGGGCAGGCAAACCTACACCAGATTCCAAACGCTAGAGTTAGAAAAAGAATTCCATTATAACAGATATTTAACCAGAAGGCGTCGGATTGAGATTGCAAATGCTCTTTGCCTTACCGAACGACAGATTAAAATCTGGTTTCAAAACAGGCGGATGAAGTGGAAAAAGGAAAGCAAATTGATCAATTCCACCCAGCCTGGCGAAGAAAAAACAGAGGAAAAATCAGGGGAGTAAAAAATTATGTTTAAGAGAATCTACCATCCATTAGTGGCTTTTTCCTTCATCACCATGCCCTCCTCCCAGTTCACACACAAATTGTACACACACACATTTATTGGGTTATTATTCTTTTGTTGTTGTTGTTGTTGTTGTTATGCAGATATTTCCGAAGGCTTAATTAAAATATGTACATATTTATATATCTATATATGTTTTCAGTAAACTGTGAATTTCTGTATCTAGTAGAATTATCGACAGTAGAAAAGCTTAGCAATATTCAGATTTCCGCCCTGTAGATTTAGGTGCTTAAATGCTTCTGACATGAGCAATGCCTTTATTTTCTTTTTTTTTTTTTAAAGGAAAAAAAATGTGTTTGTATAAAACTGTCATTTAATGGTCCTTCTACGCATTAAAAAGGATCAGACCTGGATCCAGAGAGGGATTCTAGAAGCATAGGGAGCTTCTTCTGCATATTTTTCTGTTAACTCATAACAAATAGTTGCGCTTTGTTCTACCCTTTTTCATCTCCAAACTGAACCCATTTGTTTGGTAATAATATTGATTTCACTGAGACTTTATTTGAATGATGTTACACATGGCATCCTCATGTAATTTAAGGAAAGAAAGGGGAAATGTTAACATGTACGCACAATTCCCAATATATAATTAGGATTTTCAAAAGAGATAATGGGTGGGATGGGAAATTATCATTCAAAACCTTGCTGATTATCTGTTGTATATTTTTATTTTTCTAAAGTATAGGATTATGGCTTTTTTTAAAAACAATTAGTCCTTCTAAAAGGGTAAAATACTGTAAATAGAGTAGAAAAAGGAAGGCTAGACTTCCTTTGATGAGAAGATTACCAGGATCCATGTAATTATTTAATATAATTGATCATGAAGCATTTTCATTTCTTCTTCTATTGACCTAGTTTTAAATTTCAGTATCATGGTGTTGTATGTAGATGTATTCTTTCTCCATTTTTGTTTAATATTTTGTTTAATATTTTAATATTTTGTGTAATATTTTAAAGAAAACAATATTTAGGGAAGACACCCCACTCCAAATCTGAAATAAGAATGCAGCTATCTCATACTCTTGGTGTGCTAGAAAATACAGGTGAAGGCTTTATTTAGTAGTAGCATGAAATTAGTGCAGTGGTACCATTATGTATATTATATTTTAATAATGTGAAGAGCATAGCACCTGGACTATAAATATAACTCTTAGTAATAATAATAAAAAGGAGTAATTCACATTATCCTAACTAAACAACACCATTATGCTTATATTTATGGGGGGGGGGAATGAGGTGGAGAAAATTTGCAAGCCCTTCAAATGTTCCTGAATTTTCCCTTTCTCTGTGTCTCTTAAAAGCCCATGAAAGAATTCTATTTAAAAAAAAAATACTGCAGGAGATTTCTATTGAATACAAATTTAAAATCAGCACTGACTTTAAAATACCTCTACTTCTCCTTCCTCTTGAAGTTGCTGCTCATTTACTATTGTTACAGAGATTCATTATTTCTTATATGTTTTGAATCAGTTTTTTAATTGTTAATTTTGGTGCCTAATTTCCAAAGAAATCTATACTGAATTAGTTTACTTTAATATACACACACACACAGAGACACACATGGCACCCTATAGTGTGTGTGTGTGTGTGTGTGTGTGTGCATTCCCAACACCCCCATTTTTGCTATTTTTTTCTTAATCTAAAAACCATAATCCCTAACAATTGATAGTACTTAATAATGGGATTCTAAGAGAGATGTCATAATTTTGCTATAATGGGCTGTAACCCCAATTCGACCTCAGCCTTGCAGCAGCCCCGGGCGGAGAAAGGTGAAGCTCTAACATGTCTCCAGAGGGTGGCGCACGAGGCCGACTGACAGTCAGGAGCTGGCAACGGGCTCGCGCGCCAGGCGCGCGCCTCAGCCCTCTAGCATCCACCCAACTCCGCCATTTAGTACGCGAGTTTACCTCTAGAGGTCATCAGGCAGGATTTACGACTGGACAACAAAAGCACGTGATGTGAAGTCGTACCCCATATTTGGGTGCCTACGTAGGAGGGAACCAAGTACTTGTCCCAGTCATTTCCATAATTCATCATAAATTGTGCAAGGGTGTTATAGACGCACCAAAAAACGAAGCAAAGAGCCACAAATCAAGGCCCCCCGATTAAAAAAAAAAAAAGCCAACAACAACAACAACAAAAAAAACCCCAACAAGCCCCAACAACAACAACAAATGAGCTCCTATTTTGTAAACTCATTTTGCGGTCGCTATCCAAATGGCCCGGAGTATCCGTTACATAATTATGGAGATCCGAGTGCCGTGAGCGAGCAATTCAGGGAATCGGCCAGCATGCATTCCGGCAGGTACGGCGGTTACGGCTACAATGGTATGGACCTCAGCGTCGCCCGCTCTGCTTCCAGCCACTTTGCGCCAGGGGGGGCCACAGAGAGGGCTCGCGGCGACAGTTACCCCTCCAGCGCCAGCGCCAACGCCAGCGCCGCTACTCCCGACGCCAGGTACACCAACCGGGCGGCGGCCGCTCACTCGCCTGCGCCTGAGTCTCTGCCTTGCGTCGCCGTGGCCGCCTCGCCTCTGAGCGGCGACGCTCACCATGGTGGGGGGAAAACCTCCACCGTTAACTCGACCACCAGCACTTCGTCCACGTCCGGCGGCACCGCCAGCGCCGGCGGCACAGCCAGCACCAGCACCAGCCACCTGGGCAGAGAAGGGCTTAGCGCGTCGCCGGTCGCCCAGGAGGATCCTCCCGGCAACAGCGAGCAGGCGACCGCCCAGCAGAATGACCCAAACACAGCGCAACAGGCTTCCCAGCCCCAGATCTACCCCTGGATGAGAAAACTTCACATAAGCCATGGTAAAAGCATGCCCGGTTTTCTTTATGTGTAACCTAATGCAGCAGGTCTTAGAGGCAGAGGGGGAGAGGGGCCAGGGAGCCGAGGGACACAAGACTGGCCAAAGAGACGCTGGGGGGACAAGAAAGTTCCTTCTCCTTCCACGTCTGTCTCTCGCGCGGGCGCCCCATGTCTGTCGGTCTAGCTGCCAGTTCAGGTGGTCTCTCTCTCTCTCTCTCTCCCCTCTCTCTCTCTGTCTCTCTTGAGAAACCACAAGCTCTTCCCACCCTCACCCTCCCCTTGGAAAGGGCAGCGTAGGGGAAGGCCAGTGGAGGACGGAAATCGAGATAATGCGAGGCAATTTCTCCCAAGGACTCTTCCCAGGTCTCCGGGACTGGCCGCTTGAATGGAAATGGTGGGAGTGAGCGAGCGAACCAGCCTGAATAGTGCGTGGTGTCAGCTTCGGTAATTTATGGCGAAGATTGTTGTCCAGTGAAAACACCGTTACTAATTATATCCAAAAAGAAGTTGGGGAAGTTTTGCGTGCCTGTGGGTGTTTTGGGGGGGGGGGGAGGCGGCGGGAGGGTGAGAGAGGTTTCTTTGGGAGAAAAGTGGAAGAAACTTAGGAGAGCCTAGAGGGAAGGGTCTCAGGAACTGCTAGTTCTGCAGCCCTTCAGTGTCGGCGTGGAAATCATTTCTCCTCCAGCCCAGAGGACTTGACTGGCAAATCAAGTGTGTTTGAAATGAAAAGGGGACTGGCTGGGTCTGGGACAAGGCTTGTTAGTTTTTCTTTTATCTGATAAGCAGATCACCGGGAAGAAAGCTCTTTAGAAAACTGGGAGACTCTTACGAGCAAGTAGAGACCGGGCTGGAGAACAGCTGCAGGCGAACTGCGTGCTCTCTCAGCTTCCGGGCTGGAATTGAATTGATCAGCCCTTCATTAGGGAAAGTCAAAGGGGAGGTTGTTTAAACTTCACCGGGGGTTGAAATTACTTGCGGGTTGTGGGGGGAAGATACAAAGAGAGAGAGACAGCTGAGGAGGAGAGAAAAGGAACTTGTTGAGTCTTTCCCTCAAATCAACATACTAACAAGAAATCTGAGGGAGAGAAGAAGTAAGGGAGAGTAAGGAGCCAAAATGAAGGGGGTAGGAGGGTATGTCCCTTTTGCCAAAGTCTTATTATTTTCTTTTCCCCTGTTGCAGACAACATAGGGGGGCCCGAAGGGAAAAGGGCTCGGACTGCTTACACCCGCTACCAGACCTTGGAGCTGGAGAAAGAGTTTCACTTCAATAGGTACCTGACCCGCAGGAGGAGGATTGAAATAGCACATGCTCTTTGCCTCTCAGAGAGACAAATCAAGATCTGGTTCCAAAACAGGCGCATGAAATGGAAAAAGGATAACAAGCTGAAGAGTATGAGCATGGCAGCTGCAGGAGGAGCCTTTCGCCCTTAAGAGAAATGCCAGCCCTGCTTCTCCCGCCACCCACCCACTCCCCATCCCAGAGAGGGAAAAAACAATACAAGTACAAAAACACCACAACAACTCAACAGTATTATATAAACCCTGACCCTGCCTGGGCGCGTCAGTAATTTCTCTTTGCTTAACTTCCTTCCCTAGAAGGGCGAACAAACGCTCTGCTGATGTATCTTAATAATCACGAGCCTGTTAAATTGAGCTTCCCTAGTGCGCTGCTGCTGCTGCTGCTGCTGCGTGTTACAGTAGATCGGCTTCCCTGTGCATTTCTTTGTCTTGAATAGCTTTGTAGATGTTTTAACTTATTTATATGAAGCAAGTGGCGCTACTTGAAGTAACTGTAAAAACAGGAAAAAAAATAGTCCTAAGCAAACACTAGAAAAAAAAAAAAGGAAAGGAGAAATGTTTTCGTTCCTTCCTTCCTTCCTTCCCTCCCTCCCTCCCTCTCGCACCCCACACTCAGTCTGGTTTAAACCCAGTGTTTTTCTCTGTGTTGTTGCCCTCGCTGTGCTTAACCATGCATGTGTGTTTGAACGTGTCAGTGTATGTATAACTCCAAGCTGTGGCCAAGATTTCCAATCAGAAAAAAAAAAAATACTACCTAATTCCTGTGTCATTATAATGGCTGTTGTAGAGGTAATAATGAAAAAAACAAACTGAACTTGTCCAAACGTGTAGTGAATAGTGAATCTGTGACGAAAACTGTGATTCCAGACAGTATGTCCTTGCTGTGCCTTTGTATATGACTTTTTGCACGAACTCTTAAAAAATGGCTTTTATTAAGCGCAGCTTCGGGAAAAAGTATAGGGGTTGGGGGGGGGCTGTTGTTTTTGTTTTGTTTGTGGACAAAGTTACAAATAGAGTCAAAGTCTGTTTGAACAAAAAAAATGTGATTTTTTTTTTTTAAAGAAATGTGGATTTTTTTTTTAAAAAAATAACTGACTGGAAAAATAAACTTTCTTTTATAAGAGATCTTCTCCCCCTTTTCTTTCTACTCTGTCTTTTGCCTTTTGAGGGGAGCTGGTCTGTACCCTACAGAGAGAGACTCATATCTTGTTCCGCAGTTAGTCTGGAGACTAAAGTTGGAGAAGAAACTGAGCCCAATAGCAAGTGTGTACTGGAGCAAATATTGCTTTCTGGGTTTAAAGTTGTATAAGAAACCCAAAACTGTCCTATTTAGGGGGAAGGAAGATAAAATACCACATAGTTAACTCTTTATCTTTAACAAACAAACAAAAAACCCCAAAAACAAACAAACAGGCATTTGCTTTCCTCAACCTCATTTCTAAGAATGTGCTTTTAGCTTTCTAGAATCAGCTAAGGAAAGTTAACTGGTGGACACATAATCTACTATGAGTTATACTTTCCTTCTCCTTGTGCAACTTTAACAGATTTCAGGGAAAGATTGTCTTAAGCCAAATCAAATAAATATGTATTTCTCTGTTTAGCTTTGCTACAATTAATTTTGCTAGAAATGTAACACTACTTACCCAACCCAGGGCTTGAATGGTTAATGCTTCTGAGTTCCTAAGAGTAACTAAAGATCTGTAGATTTACAGGCAAAGCACATTGGTTTCTTCCCTTAAAAGTTCTAAAGCAGTAAACTTTATAAGCCCAAGTTCCAGCTATATGACATTTGGATGCCAAATGAATAGGGTTTTGTCTATGAATTAGATCGTAAAAACATCCATAGCACAGACAGATAGGCTCACTGGCTATAAAAAGTCACGTGGTGCCATTAAAGTAAGTTTTATGGTTCTGGGGAGTTGTCATCCAACATTATATACCACATAACATATAATCACACTGACGCTGGACTTCATTTGACTCTCTTACAGGCTACGTGTGCCTCCTGGTCATTCAAATTGTCAGGGTTTAGGTACAGAAGTATCTCTCCCCAAGTTCTCATACACTCAGTGAAAAAAAGCGCTTAAGGTAAGTTCTGTGCGCAAGTTGCTTGAGTTTTTTTGTACAGTAGAAAACTCGGCTATAGTTTTGCCGTACTACTTGTTTTGGGACCTTACAGTCTTTTGAAATAGTCCAATAATTTCTTCAAGGTGCTGCTTTAAAGACAGGATGATTTTGCCAATCTGCCCCAAATCCTATATAATTTAAACTTTTCTGCAGTTGAGCTGATACATATAAGAATAAGAAACTTTATTGTCATCTTAATCCAGAATCAAACATTACAGTCCAAAGCAAAAAAAAAAAAAAAAGCAGATTAAGAGTCTTTGGCTGAGATGGATTTTGAGGTCTAACTTTAATTATGTTAGTTAAAGCAAATGATAATGACTTCCTTCGCTCCAGCAAGGTTTTTTGTTTGTTTGTTTCTATCAGTTGTATTTATGGGTGGAAGAGTCTGCAGGCCAATTTAAAAAGAAAGATTGGGGAGGGGCATGGTTTTGACTATAAACTTTTTGGAAGAGTCAACAACCCCATTGTTATTGGTATGTCTGGAATATTTTCATCTAGATGAAATATTTACATATAACAATAAAGATGTTCTAGTTGATTTTAAATACTGGATTCTTTGGGTCTTCTCTGCCTTTCAGAATTAATCACACTTGCACCTTGTATATTGTACACAAGTTGTTGTATTTCCTGTGATCTTAATATTTGTACAGGGTATACACAGCACGTGTTGCATATTGCCCACTCCAACCATTTTTAAAAATCTTCCTCCTGCTCCTCCTGTTCTTGCTTCCAATGTGAGGAAATTGATCATAACTTTAGATTCTACATACCATTATATCCCTGGAATTACTGAAGACTGTCTAAGTTTATAGGACATAATAAACTAGCCCATTTATGTAGCTAGCAACCTTTCTCTTTTCTCTCTGTTCTCTTTCTCTATTTTACTGACTGGCAATTGTTGGGATAGGCCCCCAGCTGCCTGTTTATTTCAACATCCTTTTTTTATTTAAGCAGACACTTCTCACTAGAGTGTGATGGCATAGCAATAAAGTTTATGGCAGGATTTAGATCTAAGTCTTTGAATTTCCAGGGTTGAAAGAAAGCATGAAAGAACCTTAAAAAAAATCCTTTCTCTTGCCTGCCTGCCTGCCTTCTACAGCATCATACCATCAGAACCTAAAAATTCTTACTCTTATAAATTTAGGAAAGCAACTGCTGGGGACACAGTAGCAACTGTATATAACAAATAAAATGAATGATTTTGCAACTAAACAAGAATTTGTGGGTTTAAAGAGAAGGAGCTAGAGAATATCTACCTTATGAATCAGGGGGTCTCAGCCTAAGAATTATCGGAGGTTTTCACAGATTCCCTTCCTAAACTCTAGCTAAAAATAATTCAGCTGTTGGTCAATGTATATGTTTTTTTAGAGTTTTTTCAATTAAATGTCAAATGAGGTTTAATTTTCTATGTCTTAATTTCTTTTTGCACATTATACAGAATTAAAAGCAGTTTGCATAAGTCTTAAAATCTCAGTGGTATCCGGCAATATAATTGAATCTTACTCTATTCTGATTGCTATTTGCAAAGAGACAAATTTTGTGGAAGGATGAATAAATATTTGAAGATACGGAAACTTCTATCATTTTTAGGTTGACTCTAATTATCAATATAGGCACCCATTTACATTGTGATCTCTCTTTATACTTATATGAGTTAAAATCAGTGGCATAAAATGTATTGTTATTTGTCCCCTCCCTCCCCACTCAGTTTTATGCAGGGATTTCTGCCTGGCTTCCATAGTTAGCTTAATAAAGATGCGCTGACTATTCAGTAATATTTAGTAAGATTTAAAATAGGGGAAAAGCCATTACTTTACTTTGTGCCCTGCTTGGTTTTTTTAAAGTAAAATTAAAAGAGAAAGGCCATACAGATTTAATTTTAAAATATATAAAATACAACTCCCCAATCCCACTTTCAGAGAAAGCTAGCTTTTTAGTTGAACATCATTGCTCTCTGCAGGGTTACTGATGAATTCCTACACATTCAAAAGCAAAGATCCTACATGCCAAAGGGAGAAGTCTCCACATAAAATACTATTCAACCCATAGTGCATTATTTAACACAGCACATTTAAACTGAAGTAAAGTTTTGCTGAGCTTCACTGTTTTAATTACAGGGGAGAAATTATGCTTAAGCCAGGTGGGGCCTTGGGTTTCTTTTCTTACTGCTATGTTTACTCTCACAAACAAGGAAGGAAATCCTTCTACAGTCAGATCTTAAGAACCAAATGTGGTAGTCATCCTTAAGACTATTTACAATTAGGGAACATAATTCCATGACTTAGAGGCTAAAGGTTGTTCAGTTTCTTTCTTGTTAATATTCCTTTTTCCATATCTAGCTATATCCTGAACTAACAATCACTCAGCCAGTACTCAGTGGAAAGATGGCTGAATGAACAGATTGATTTCACAGATAGAGTAGGGAAACATACAATTCTATCAAAGTTCTCTACAAATAAGTGACCTTATGCATTTCTACTTAAAAGTGCATTCTCTTGAACTCAGTGAGATTTAGTTCCATGTTATTTTGCATACCAGCCTGCAAATCACAATAAACAAAATTAAATTATTCTAGCCACCTAACTACAATGGGAGGATCTCAACATGTGCAGGAGCAGAAAACATTTTTCAACCAAAATGATGATTTTATTTTAGTCTGTCTTTCTGTCATTTCATACCAGAGCAGCAAGTTGAATAAACAAGCCAAAATACACTCATCTGCTCAAAACACTTATTCCTCCAAAATAGAATACTATAAACCAAATTTTTAAAATTAAGAAGTGTATTTGCATAAATGATGATAATGTCATTATTATTTTATTTTATTTTTTATGTTAATAATACTTTATTTTCCTTCACCTTATCAGAAGCTCTTTATGGATATTAGAAAGTCCAATTTTATCAGCTCAAGTAAGAGTTTTTTTGACTTTGGCAAGGTAACTGTGGAAGCTTCCCTGTGCTGAAAATACAAAGATGGCTTTTGAAATTCACTTGACATTGGATCA